AAAAACCAAACTATGAGTTAGTAGATGGGGGTCTATAAAGGCCATTAACTATATTTATTGATTCTGCCCTATCAGATATTGGGGAAATTTTACATTATACTGATATATGGCCAAGTGTTATAATTTTTCCATAAAATTCTATCTATAAAAATTCAAATTTTTAAGAAACAGATGAAGGAAAAATCGTGAAAATGTTTGCCTGACAATTTAAAGTACTTCTGCATTTTACATCTAACATCTATCTCTATGACCATCTTTCCACAATTTCAGACTCACAATCAAAATGATTTCCAGATACTTACCCTTGTATTGTGCCATACACAATCCCAATCAAACATTTACCCTCCAACTTTCCTTTTTTTCATCTACACATTTTTCATTTAATGTCTGGTACCATCATCAAACTAGTTTTTCAAACCCTAACTCATCCAAATACCACTAAAATGACATATTTAAAAAGAAAGTCTGATCATAGGGCTTCTTTAGTAGACATCTATAGTCCTCAGCTGAGTCCAAATGCCTTAAAATGATTTATTATCTGACATGATAGTTCCTTAGCCTCAATGTTTTCTCCTGATGGCCTGTCACATAAAAACACGCATTGCATGCAAACACACACACACACACACACACACACTCTTAGGCAGACACAAGCACACAGGGTCAGATCATGCACTTTCTCTAAGCTTCAGCCACACAAAAGTGTCACTCTGTGAACCCACCACCATGTTATCTGTGCCCCAAAATATTAATAACAGCAATTTTAACATTAGATCTACTATTTGTGATTATTATTCGATTGATTTATCGAGCATATTTGAACATTTACTAAATGTCAGTTAAATTTAAGTCAGATTAAACTGCGAAAAATGAGAGGAGGTTAATATTCTGAACCTGAATACAGAAAGTCAGATTTTAAATTCCAGCTGTGGGACTTTAGGAAAGCCACTTTGCCCCTTAGAACTTTGAGTCCCTCATTTCTTCCTTGGAAACACACAAGAATTATTTTTAAAAAGTAGAATTCAATAGAGGATGTACAAATATTCAACCTCCCTAGTAATCAAATAAATGGAGTTCAAAACAATATTAAGAAGATAGTTTTCATTTATCATATTGGGAGAGATTTATTACAACTATAACACTGAAGTTAGCACAGGTGTGTGAGAGGACAGGCTCACGTACTGCATAGCCTCATGAACGGGATCGTCTTTCTGGAAAATAGTTTTAGAGACGAAGTGGGAATTTTAAAACTATTATATGCTAATAGAGATTTCTAAACAAAATAATCCACTGCCATAATATTTACAACAAGGAGTAAGAATGAGAGCAATCTAAATAACAGCAATTATTATATAAATCATAGTTCATCCATAGAATAAACTATTATACAGCTATTTCAAAGATGTATTTAACAGTTGTTTAATATCATGAAAAAATCTATTATGTCATGTTGGGAATAAGATCAAAACTCACAATTATTTAGTAAGAAGGGAAAAATTCAGTAATATATTAATAGCTATATTTCTATGTATTGAAACAATGTTAGGGTCTCAATCTCCTTTTGTACTTTGTGTATTTTTCAAATTTCTTACAACAAATGTGTTACAGAGTGCTAAATAGAGGAGACATCATTGTTCTTAATGCATTGGAACTTTTGGTTAAATGGAGCTTTGTTTAATATGGTGTAGGAAACAAAATCATAGTTTAGAGCATATCCAAGGACACAAGTTGAAAAATAGAACCTTCCTCATAAACATAAGTTTGCAATGATTAACTCAACTTTATCCTAGGACTCAAAGATTTTCTGCAAATAGTGCTCAGAAGCAAGTGAACTACACATGGTTTTTAAAAAAAATAGCCAAGAATACAAGTGAAAAAGGCACTGAAGCATGAGCTAGAAGAATAAGAAGCAGAAGCAAATGACAAAGACTACAGATATTTAAATTATCAGGTGTAGATTATAAATATTCACACAGTTTAAGAGATAAAAGATAAGCTTTAAATATCTGTGTCAAACAAAAAATCATAAAATGACCTAGCAGATTTGGATGAAAAGCAAATAAAACTTTAGGAAATGAAAAATTACACTTGCATACATTTGTAATGCAATATATACTTGCCGCATATATATATAGACTTGCCAGTTTATATGTGCAAATACTTGAAATAGACAAAATTATTTGCACATATACATAAATGTAATACATATATATAGTTACCAGTTAGAAACAAGAATATAAGAACTATTTTGACATATGAATTGGTAATTATCTCTTTGTCCTGTGTTTTAATCTTCTCTTCTTTAGGAACATGACTTAGATATATGGTAGACCTGACTCTTGCCTGCAAATCTCTTAATCTCTCTTTCACTTTATTTTACCGATTGTTTATTAATTCTCTGTTCTGCACCATGTAATCCACTGTTAAAAATTATCCATTTAATTTTTAATTTCTGGTAAAAATTGGGGGTAAATTAAATGATTAAATAATTAAGTAACATCTCAAGGTGTTTTCTGGGTAAGCAAGATAATACACCATGGAAAGAAATCCTTCCCAATAAATAGAGCTGCATTCCCACTGCTTGTGACAGATGTACTTGTGTTCCCAATAATTCACTACATCTATTCATTTTTTGTTATTTGTTATTTTTTTCTTTTGAGACAGAGCCTTGCTCTGTTGCCCAGGCTGGAGTGCAGTGGCACCATCTCGGCTCGCTGCAAACTCCACCTCCCGGGTTCACGCCATTCTCCTGCCTCAGCCTCCTGAGTAGCTGGGACTATAGGCACCTGCCACCATGCCTGGCTAATTTTTTTGTATTTTTAGTAGAGACGGGGTTTCACCATATTAGCCAGCATGGTGTCGATCTCCTGACCTCGTGATCCGCCCGCCTTGGCCTCCCAAAGTGCTGGGATTACAGGCCTAAGGCACCGCACCCAGTCTATTCTTGAGAGAATTAGACTTGTCATCCCACTGACATCAGACTTGGCCATGTGACTTGCTTTGTTCAAAGGAATGTGAGTGGTGTTAACATGTATCACCCTCCTGTGGAAGCTACAAGAGCCACTGAGTGATCTCACTAATGTACTTTTCCCTCTATTACTAGCTAAATTACTACGTGAGTGAGAAAACAACCTTCTTATTTTGAGTCACTAAGATTTGGGCGTTGCGTGTTACTGCAGAATAATCTACTAAGTGCTAGCTCTCACACACTCTTCCTTTCCTCCAGATGAGTGTCCTTATTAGATCACTCACTCTTCAGATGTTTGTTTGCTTTTGCTCCTCTGGTTCTTTTTCTTTATAAAATAAAATGATAAAATGTAGTAATATTAGCAACTACAGTTTTAAGTTATTCTTTAAAAAACCAGCTTCCTTTAAAAAAGTATGTTTCACATACAATAAAGTTTTACAATTGTTCCATTTCATCATTTTCAAAGGTAAAATAATTCTAAGAAATTTTATCAAACTTCCAATACAATAATCAAGTATCATGGTCACCTTTTTCCTGATAGCATAGTATGTGTCAGACTCTCTGCTATATGATGAGGATTCAGTAGCGAAGGAAAAGTAGTCATGGTCTGACCTCATGGATCTTCCCATTTTTGAGGAAGACAGAAATCAATCAAATATTCATACACAAAAAAATTATGAATATGAGAAGAGATGTGAAAAAGAGAGGCATGTGTATCACATATACATATAGCAGAGGAATTGAATTTCACAGGATAGTCAGCTGTAATCTTAAGGATAAGTGGCAATTAGGTAGAAGGAAGTCGTAAAAACATTATAGGAAAATAAAGTAGCATAAAAATACCATGTATGGGCTGGAAAAAAGAGTGACAAGTAGGAGAAACTGAAGTAATACTACTATATTTGAACCAAGTAATAAGGAAGAACCGGGAAGAATATGAGACTGTAGAAGCGGATATGCCTATTCAAGGGACCTTGCAGGATATGTGGTGGGGGGGTCTTTTGTCCTTTCACCCCTGTTAAAATTCATGCAGATACAGAGGGAAATTGATCATACTTATGTTAAGATAAATAAGAACATGCCTATCAAAATGTAGATAATGGATTAGAAAGTGATTGCAGGTGGACCAGTTCTGCCAGTCACTGTGAGTTCATGCCAGACATGATGATAGCTTATACTAGATTGTCGGTGGAGCAATGAAGAGAATAAACTGAAAATACTGTAATATTAGCAAATATTAGTACGTGGACTAGCTCTTGTTGATACATTAAATATGAGAGTTGAAATAGAGGAGTCAAGAAAACTCGTATGTTTCCGAACCAAGAATACTAGTATAGTAGTTGTGGGAAAAATTGAGAGTGGACTGAAAGAGATCATGAGCTTGATAAGACATACATAAGATCCTCCATATCTGCAAGTTTTAATTCCTGCAGGTTTAGTTACCTGTGGTCAACTGTAGTCTGCAAAGATTAAATGGCAAATTCCAGATATAGACAATTCATAAGTTTTAAATTGTAGGCTGTTCTAAGTAGCATGATGAAATCTCATGCTCTCTTGCCCCAGATGTGAATAATCCCTTTGTCCAGCATATCCATGCTGTGTATGCTACCTGTCTGTTAGTCACTTAGTAGTCAGCTCAGTTATCAGATTGAAAAATTGTAGTACATATAGGGTTTGGTACTATCTGTGGTTTCAGGCATTCACTATGGGTCTTGGAACATATCTCCCACGGTTAAGGGGGGGGGCTACTGTATTTGAAGTTTAAAGTATTTTTGAGTATAAGAGGATATGTCAAAAAGAGGTGAGATGAGGGTGTGTAGAGCTTCTTATAAGATAATTTTTTACAATTATTTTGACTTTTCAAAGGGGACCCAGAGTGATTAAAGGCAACATTTTGAATAGAGCTTAAATTTTAAGCTAATGATAAACAAAAACACCACTATATCACTCCAGGGACACAAACTGGAGAGATTTGTTATATTTAATATCTTGTATTATGGTATATAAGAAAAAAATGTATTTGCAAATTTACCTTTCATTGATTTGTTCTGTTATTTTGTTAGTGTCAATCCCAAGTTTTTTATTGTCTTCCATCAGTTTTGTATATGCCAAAGAAATAGCTGAAAAATCTTTTGCAACATCAGAAAGTTCAATATCCCATGTTTTTTTCTTTAAGAAGAGAATAAAAGAATCATTCATACATGTCTAATTATCAAAAGGCAAAAGGTATAATAATGAAATAACTTTTAGATATATGAGTTAATATTTGGAAATACAGAATGGCATTCTAAGTGGGAAGCAGGAAAAAATCAACTTACTGCAGCATAAAAATCATTAACTGCTTCCTGATACTGATTTTCCTGACTTTTTTGCTTCCAGATTAGTTGGTCATAAACTCTTCTCAAATCTTCCAGCTAAGAAAGAAGATATACAGAATAAAGTGAATTGTGTAGCTTTTCATCCTTCCATAAGGTAAAAAATAAATTAATCATGATAAAGTAGAATTTGTTTCAGTTACATAAAAATTGAAAAACAATAGAAAATTCAGAATTATAATTCATCACATCAACAAGTTAAAGGAGAAAATAAGTATGCTAACACTTTGCAAAACCGTCATTTAATAAATTCACTCACTATCTAGTTTTCATATCTTAAAAAAACTAGTACAAGAAAAAATTATTCAAATATAATATAAAGAAACAATAGCAAATACCAAAATAAATTATAAAATTCTGAATGTATCCTCATGAGACTCAAGAGTAAGACCATATTATCTCTTTTATCACCATTATTATTAATCACACTTTGGGAAAGACTAAGTAAACATAATTACATAATAAAATCAAATATTAATATTATAGTATTGAAAATGAATAGGTAATGTATCTTCAACTTTCAATAACATGATTAAATACCTAGAAAAATAGAAGAATTCTATTTAAAACAATAATAAACAACTTTGGTAAAATGGCTGGGATATAAGGATTAGGAAATGAACAGCTTTTATCTGTAAGAGTAATAATCTGTTTTTAAAATATAGAAGAAATAATTTTAAAGTTTTCTCAAAAATATAAATTATTTGGGAAAAAATTTGACAAAAAGTAGAGGACTTATATAAAGTAAACAAAAACTCTTATTAAATACCCTAAATCAAGTTTTACATGAAAAGGATGATTTATTACAAAAAGGTTTAATAGACTATAATGTGTGTTCTCTCAACATTAGAGTAAAAATATAGCAAAATGGAGTAGTATTTTTTGAACTGCATTAAATGAAGTTCACATGGAAAAAAGGTACCTGAGACTAGCCAAAAGTTATCTGAAAAATAAATATTGGACACTTGCTACCAGATACTGAAACATCCTATAATACGTCTATATTAAGGCACCATTTATTTTCCTCATCATAGTAAAGATCAGAGGGAAAAATTAAAGGCCAGAAATAAATCCAAATCAATATTTTTAAAAAATGATATCTGAATTCAGTGAGCGAGAAGTTGTTTAATTAATGGTACTGAAATAATACAAAATCTCTGTTTAGAAAAATTCAAAGTGGTCTCTATACCTCACATCGAACTCATATAATAACAAAAGTAAAGTTTCAGAGGAATAAAAATCTAAATGCAAACACAAAACATGTTCAAATTAGAATAATCAATAAAATTTCATTTGCATAATCTTGGGCTAAAGGAGAGTGTCACCTTAAACTAAGAGATCTGTTGATGGGTTTGACAGCACATTTTATAAAAATGTGCTGTCAAAAAAAAACCACCATAAACAAAATGTAAATTATAAAAGAAGACCATGAAAAAATGTAAAATAAAAAGCCAACATTCCCAGATTATGTCCTTGCAGAGACATCAAGGAAAATAGTGAAGCAGGAGTCTCTGAAAACTCCCTCCTATATAAATGTAATAATAATAAAAAAAAAACCTGGCAAAAAAAAGTCAAATCAGCCTTGTCAGCACTCAAAATTAGCCAAAGGCTTGCAACAATCTAGGGAGCACTGATTTAATAAAAACAGCCTAAGCTTAGTAAGGTGTGCTTTGTGGTGTTTCACCTTCTAGTCCTATCTCTTCAGCTCCACAGAAGCCTCAAAGAATAATTTGTTGTTAAAAGCAGCCTTCTGGCAGCCACCAGAGGGAGCAGAATCAGGCTAGAATGCTTTCAAAGCCTCATTCTCAAAAAAAAATTGTCTTTATTGGACCTTTCTGGTGGTTTTTATGGAAACCTCCACTTGCAAGGATGTCTGCATTTGATTTGATGCAGAGTTCACCAGCACAAAAACTCTCTCCCAGAAAAGCTTTTTCTCCAGAGCATGGTTGTCCAAAAAAATTACAGGCAATTGATTAACTCTGTGGCCACCTGAGATAGTGGCTAAAAATTGGAACAAACAGTAGATGAACTAACAAACTAAAAAGGGAAAGCTGGTGGAATTACATCCATAGTACTTTGTAAAGCTCCAACATACTCCTGGGAATCTAGAAGGCTGCAAATATCCAGGAAGGTGTGAAAGACCAGGGTATTCACATGTTCTGGAAATACCCGAGAAGCCATTTAACCTCTCACCTCCTGCTGATCTTGAGGCTCTATGCAAGCAGGAAGCAACAACAATAACAAAACTAAGGCAGAGTTGGCAACTGCCTGGTTGTTTATTGAAGGTGAACCTAAACAAGCACACAGAACTTTTCTGCAAAGACAGAGAGAATTTTTTTTTTCAGATTTTAAGGATTAATATCCAATGATTAACAGACCCTCAGCTCAGAAGAGACTTCAGGGGCTGCACATGAGAAAGACAACAGACTTTATCGAATTAAGTTAGCAAGTTCCCTAAACAAAACAACAAAAATTACTACTTCAGCAAACAGCAACAGGAACAAATCCTAAGGAGAAGTGAAAATATGGTGTCCAGTATAAATACATTATATTTAAAATGTCCAGTTTTCAACAACTAAAAATGAGACATTCAAAGAATTAAGAAAGTACAGACTATAGAGAATAAAAAATTAGTCAATAGAAATTGTCTCAGAGGAAAATTAGACATTTTATTTATTAATCCAATTGGAAATTATAAATATATTCAAGGATCTAAAGAACTAAAACAAAGCATTAAAATAATGTTTTAGCAAATAGAAACTATTAATAAAGTGATATAAATTATTTTAAAAATTCAAATATAAATTTGACGGTTGAAAAGTAAAATAACTGAACTAAAAAATTTTCGCTATCTGCACTCAACAGCATATTCAAGTAGGCAGAAGAAAGAATCATCAAACCTGAAGATGAGTCAACTGAGATTATCTAGACTGAAGAACAGAAAGAAAAAATAATGAAAAATGAACAGAGTTTCATAGTTGTGTGACATTCCATGAAGTATACCAATATATATACAAAAGTAAAAGTAGTCAAAAGAGAAAAGGAGGGGGGAGGCAAAAAGTATATTCAAATAAATAATGGCTGAAAACTTCCAAAATTTGGTTTAAAAAACATTAATTTATACATTGAGGAAGCCCAAGAAATTCCAGTAGTAAAAACTCAAAGATATATACTTGAGATACATCACAATCAAACTGTCAAAAGTCAAAGACAGAGAGAGAATCCTGGAAGCAACAAGAGAGAAGTGACACTTCACATGTCAAGGATCTTCAATACGATTAACAGATAATTTTTCACTCAAAACAATGGGAAACAGAAAGTATATACTAGCATATACAACATACAGAAATAAAAGAAAAGTACCAAGAATACTATATCAAGCAAAACTATAACTTGAAAACATAGAGATATTAGGACATTCCCAGATAATTAAATATTGGGATAAACCTGTTCTATAAGAAACACTCAAGGGAATCCTTCAAATTGAGATGAAAGAATGCTAGACAGTAACTTGAATCCACAAGAAGAAATAAAGACAACCAGTAATCATAACTGTATAAGTAAATATTAAAAATGTATAAATGTATTATTTTGTAACCATTTTTTGTTGCCTAATTTGAAAGGCAATTGCATAAAGCACTAATTGTAAATTTCTGTTGATAGTCACACAATGTATAAAGATATAATTTATACAATATCAAGACAAATAAAGGAAGAAAGCAAGCTATAAAGGAGGAAGAAATGTGTATACTAATGAAATTGCTAGTATTAATCCAAAATAATTTTTTGTAAATTAAATTGTGAATTCCACTCCCAGGGCAATTGCTAGGAAAATAGTATAAAAATTTATAGTCAAATCAATTACAAAGTAATTAAAGTATTATATAAAAGAAGGCAGTAATGAAGGAACAGAGAAAATATAAACACATAAGACACAGAGAAAATAAGTAGCAGAATGGCAAATACAAATCCTACCTTATCAGTAAGTACATCAAATGTAAATAAATTAAACCCTCTAATTAAAGTATAGAGATTGACAGAATGAATTTGAAAGAAATGGTCCTATCATATACTGTTCACAAAAGACACATGGGAGATCACAGACACAAATATGTTAAAAGTAAAGGCTGGAAAAAGAAATTCCATGCAAACAGCAACCATGTTAGAGCTGAAGTGGCTAGATTAATATCAGACAAAATAGACTTTAGAATAAAAATTGCTAGAACAAACAAAGAATGACATTTTATAATAACAGAAGGGTCAATTAATCAAGACATAACAATCACGAATATCAATCCACCCAACAACAAAGCTTCAAGATACATCAAACAAAAACTGACAGAACTAAACAGAGAAATAGAAAATTTAACAAAAATAGAGACTGCATACTGCATGTCTGAAGTCATGCAAAGTGCCTTCTCCAGCCATATTAGAATGAAATTATAAATCAACAACAGAAAGAAATAAAAGAAGGAAATTCTAAACATATGAACATTAAACAATATGTTCCTTGATAACCAGCAGGTATAAGAAGAAATCTCAAGAATGATTAGAAAATATTTTGAGATGAAAGAGAATGAATGTACAACACATTGAAACTTATTGGATGAAGTTAGAGCAGTGCTTTAAAGGAAATTTCTAGCTTTAAGTGCCCACATTAAAGAAGAAGTTCTTATGTCAGTAACCTAACTTTACATCTAAGAGAATTAGAAAAAGAGCTAACTAAACCCAAAGCAAGTAAAAGAATGAAAATCATTTAAAAAAAAACTGCAGTGGGAAAAATATGAATTCTAATACACACAAAAAATTGAGAGAATCAACAAAACCAAAAGTTTGTTATTTGGAAAGGTCAAGAAATTTGATACAATACTATATACACTGACCAAGAAAACAGATAGAAGATTCAAATTATTAAAATCAGAAATTCAAGAGAGAGTATTGCTATGAACCTTCAAAAAGTGATTATAAGAGAATACTGTAAAACATGTTATGCCAACAAATTAGATAAACAACATGAAATGAATAAATTCCTAAAAATA